TAACTACCAATAACGTTCCCAGATCATGTCCAAAGGTTATGTAAAACATTTTCGTATTTATTGCTGTGTCAGATTGTACATACCACCGACATGTCTCCTTTTTATTCCCCGCAACGCGTTTTGCGGGGGGTATTAAAATGCAGTCCGTCCGTCCGTCCCTGCGTCCGTGCGTGCGTCCGTGCATATTTGTCTTTTCAGAGCAGAACTTTTAAACCGTTATCTATTTCTTTCACCAATTTTGGCACATAGATAGGTCTGGTGGTGAACTGGTGCCTTTTGGTAGTTTTGGATTTCCGATCATGATATATTTTGCTTTCCCATGGCAGGAAAGTTGACTTTGAGTGAAATTTATGGAGGTGTTCTTTTCCGGAACAGAACTTTAGAACCATTCTATATTTCTTCACTAAACTTGACACATAGATTGTTCTGGTGGTGTACTGGTGCCTTTTGGTAGTTTTCTATTTTTTAAGAAAATATATTTTGTACTTCCATGGCAACAAGTTCGACTTCGAGTGAAATTGGTGGTAGTGCTCTTTTCCGTAGCAGAACTCCAAACCGTTTAATGTTTCTTCACCAAACTTGGCTCATAGATACATCTGGTGGTGTACTGGTGCCTTTTGGTAGGTTTGGTATTCTGAATTAAATATTTTGTGGCATTTCCATGGCAACAAGTTTGACTTAGACTGAAATTAATGGTTGTGCTCTTTTTCCGTAGCAGAACTCTAAAACCGTTCACAAGTTCTTCACCAAACTTGGTACATAGAATGATCTGGTGGTGTACTGGTGCCCTTTTGGTAGTTTTCGATTTCTGAATAAAATATCTTTGCATTTCCATGGCAACAAGTTTGACTTAGACTGAAACTGGTGGTAGTACTAGTGCTCCTTTCTGGAGCAGAACTTTTAAAACGTTTCAATACTCTCCTTCCACTGTTCTATGCACACACCAAAACATTTGACATAATCATAACTCGTAGACATATTCATGAAGAGTTTTGCCATTGCGGGGATATTGATGACTTTGTCTTCTTGTTACTCCTTTTCACGACATTTTCAGCCCAGCGCGCAATATGAACACAATTCCCCATGTAAGCCAGACTCCCCAGAATGAATATCACAAATGCAAGCAATGTGACAATATTCTGCACATCACTTCCATATTTTCAGATCCACCAACCGTGCACGTTGCTGATACCAAGAGAGTGGTCCGTGAATTAGAAGATTTGACTATCCAATGTACAGCAAAAGCAAAGCCGAACGTGACGTCAGTAGTCTGGACAAAGGAAGGTGTAGGTGCAAGGATCTCTGACAATGGGACTCTTCATCTGAAGAACATACAGAAGGATGACGCAGGAGTATATGTCTGTACAGCAACCAACAAGGTCAATCCTGCTCGGGAAGACGACAGACAAAACGCTCGTCTGGAACTGTTACACTGGAGGTGCAATGTAAGTCACAATATGTATGTGAAGGTATAACACTGTCATAGTATGTTTAATGATAACAGTTTTAAGGTAGTGAATACACAATGCCCCCTTACACAACTGTAAGTTCGACACAAGTTTGGCTCTGACTATTAATATGTATGTATGTATGTATGTATGTATGTATGTATGTATGTATGTATGTATGTATGTATGTATGTATGTATGTATGTATGTATGTATGTATGTATGTGTGTATGTGTGTGTGTATGTATGTATGTATGTATGTATGTATGTATGTATGTATGTATGTATGTATGTATGTATGTATGTATCCAATGTACAGCAAAAGCAAAGCCGAATGTGACGTCAGTAGTCTGGACAAAGGAAGTTGTAAGTAGGAACATCTCTGACAGTGGGACTCTTCATCTGAAGAAGGATGCCGCAGGAGAATATGTCTGTATTACAGCAACCAACATGGTCACATCCTGCTCGGAAAGACCACAGACAAAAACACGTCTGGATATGTAACACTGGAGGTGCAATGTAAGCGAAAATATGTTTGTGAAGTTGTGTACCTGCCCCGCTGGACATATACTTAACCAAAGGTGGTGGTATGTTCAGTGACAACATTTAATGATAATATTATAATAATGGCTATTTATCAAGCACCTTATAGGACAAACTTTATGGATAATAACTTTTTTTATTAGGATGCGACGCTTGATACAGATTCTTGTAACAGAGAATCTTGTACCGAAACGTCGCAAGCAATCCTAATAATTTGCTGGACAACGGTACAAGAATCTGTATCGAAACGTCGCACTCACCAATAAAAGAAGTTGTTATTGGATAATTATGCTTGACAACGGTACAAGAATCTGTATCGAAACGTCGCACTCACCAATAAAAAGAAGTTGTTATCCATAAAGTTTGTCCTATATTGTACTTCCCAACTTCTAAAATGCCACTCAAAGAAGTTATCAAGCACCTGTTTACAGGCACTTGTGCATAGCAAAGCACATTGTTACCATTGTTACCCGGGATAGCCCAAGCGGCCTGTGAGGCACCGGAAGGTTAACAGGCATATGACTTATTCACCGGGTACCCATCCACAACTGGGTGAACAGGGGCAGTTGATGAACAAGGTGCCTAAAGTGCGACCACATGTGTCACGTTTGCTTCGTCGTGAGGCAGGACTGAAATTCTAGGGAGTCTGTCTGCAAAACACGGTCACCCATCCAAGGACTCTCCGCGCCCAGCGGTGCATAGGACCATACACCACCACCACCTATAAAACTAATCTGTAATACATAATATGTATAAGATACAAAACCTGACTTCCTTATCACCAGTTCTGATAATAGACCGAAACCAGTTTATATCCGCATGTTGGATACTAATAACTTCATCCTGAACTGCATGCCTAATTAATAACATTTAGATACATAAAGGCGAAAACAAGGAATCGAATCGTAAGTTGTTAATCACGGATTTTTTTGGACAGAAATGCAAATATTGGTTTCATGAATAAACAGGTAGCATTCCTAAAGTGACAGTTGCCTGGAAATATTACAACAATTATTACATTTATCTTGAAATCATTTTCGTTATTTTCACGTGTGCGTCAACAAGGTTTTTACTCCTCAAATGATACACAAAAATGGACACAATATATCATAATATGTATTGCATGATTCAAATAGATTTAAACATTATTGCAGATAACAAAAGTGAAACTGTACGTAAAGACATGCTCTTTACATACGTTCCTGCTTTCTGCAGATACATATAATTATACATATATGTATAGTTTTACTTAATGACACTGCAAAAAGTTGGTATACAGGTCATGCCCTGGATATACACAATCGGATACATCTATGTCACATTTTGTTTCCCATTTACATAAAAGTAAATATTATTGCAGATCCCCCCACAGTTGCTATACACGCCGTGAGTCCATGTTCCGGGTTTACTTTCCTGGTCAACGAAGCCAATGTGACTCTCAACTGTTCTGTCAAGGGAGCTAACCCTGCGACCACCACCTTCACCTGGTACCACGGAGATGTCACCCTGCAGAACGGGTCCAATCCGATCTACACCCTAAATCGTGTGACTAGATCCAGTTTGGGTCGGTACAGATGTACGGCAGATAATGGCATATCTCCACCAGGACAGGATTATGTGACAGTCGACGTCCACTGTAAGTACTGGGTGTAGACTTATTAGCTACCGCCGTGTACAAATCAAACAGGGTTACGTACTACTAACAGAGGAAAACCTGTGGACTGATTGATATTGATATTTCCTTCGTGGATTTGAGCCAGGGTCAATGGCTCCATCCCCGGCCACTTCATACCCAAACTTGAATAGACTTTAAAAGATTCTACTTGGCTATCTGGAAAATTAACAAGGTCAAAATTATTCTCGTCACGATATGGCTGAAACAATGGCGATGTGACATTAAATATTAACTCACTCACTCACTGAAAAATTAACGTCTGAACAAAGACACGCAAGTCAACATAGATGAAGACAGCTGTAATGTGGGTTATAGCATGAGCCCATGTAAGTAGATTTAACAATGAATGGTCTCGGATCGGAAGCTTAACGAAGTTTACTTAATCTTGCCTGTCGTTTTGGTCCCCTTGGAAATATTTGTAAAATGATAACTTTCTGATGAGTTTGTCCTTTTGAATGACCAGAGAACTCCTGCCAAACAGGCTTGCTGACCTACCCTGAATGCCGACTGACACCACCGACACTCATGTGCAATCCCAACATATCAACCTTCCTTCTACTATCATTTAGACTAGCTCTTTGGTATGATATATAAACCTGGTGTGAACCATGGACGCCCAATCTTGAAGTGAGCCCGATCACCAGTACGTCTACCATGCTGTTTTCTAATTCAACAACTTTGGGATTTTAGAAATGTGTTATTCGTGCATTGTTCGCATCCATCCTGTTTGATGTGGGGTCGTAACGTCGTTATCGGTGCGGGACACCACGGTTACGGTCTATGACTTGATCCGTGCCGGATGGTGCTCTATGGACGTTGAATTGACGTCAACGTAACGCTGTGAGGTACCAGACTCAAGCATACATATCGTTCTCAGTCCGTCATTGTCCCCGAGACTTTGCATGTCAAACTTGTTTCAGAACCATTAATAGAGGTGACTGCACTTCGTAACACTACTCGGAGTGGAAATGATAGTGAGTGAGTGAGTTAAAATTTAAAGTGACATAGGCAATATATATTTTAACCATATCGTGCCTATGAAACATGCATATTAATATACACAATCTTTAACGTTATGAAATCCTGTCAGCAAAGGACAATAAAATAACGAGAATATCACAGCTTTTTTGTTTTAACGATAAAATAATGCTTTCTCAACGACACAATATACAAAGCGGCCTCTATATCGCCAACAACTGAAGGTAGATCACCATACCAGACACCATGGATACTTACAATACGTTGCTACCCGCATGGCCTCTAGCTGAATTTACTTAAGTTTATAATAACATATATCTGTGTACAAACCAAATCAATCTCAATAATATTTTTTGTGTTTTAAAAAATAAACAATTAAATGAAAACCAGCCCTAATTCTAAAAGATCTTTCATTAAGTAAGTTCTGAAATAATTATCCCTTGAGATGGAAAATCAATACAGTCAAACACATGCTTGACAGTAATTCTTTTCATCGCAAGGGATACACAATTAATATTATCAAGAGTGGCATCAATATATAGCTTTTTTCCGAATCCTTGATGTTCTATTCAACCATAAAGACTGACTATACTGAGTCAAAAGGAAACTTCACATTCTTTCTTCAGGGCACTATAAAAGAACAAGAGATGGTAAGATGGTGAAATTGTTTATTATTTCATTGCTGAGATCTGTGTGATGTACTCGATACACTGACAGTGCCATAATCAGTTCCATTAGGCTACACCGCCGTTCCAAAACATGGGTATACAGAATGTCAAGTCACAAGAACAAAAATGCGAAATTTCTCAGTTCAATATCGTGAATGGCCGCCCTGCGCATTCACCACTGCCAAACACCGTCTCCTCATCGACTGCCTGATGCTTGTGAACACGTGGTTGGGGATTCTTCGCCATTGCTCTTGCAAGTTCCTGCAAATTCTGAGGTTGGTTCCTAAGACCACGAAGCCTTGTGCATCCTAAACGTGCTCTATTGGATTAAGGTCAGGGGACCTCGATGGCCAGTCCATAACGTTGATTCCAGCGTTTTGAAGGAAATTTCGTGTCAACATCGCGGTATGCGGCCGAGCATTATCATGCTGGAACTGTAGACCTGGGCCATGAGCCGCCATGAAAGGAACGAGTTCAGGGGTGAGCACCTCGTCGCGGTAAGCAGCAGCTGTGAGGTTTTCACGGATGACCAGAAGTCAGGAACGGTTGTTCCCACAGAAAGCACCCAAACCATGCAGCTTACGCCCCCGAATCTGTCGACTTCTTGTAAACAACATTGGGCATACCATTCACGACGTCGTCTCCAGACTCTATGCCTGCCGTCCGCGAATCTGAGGGTAAACCTGGATTCATCGCTAAAGACGACTCGATTCCAGTCTCTTGGTCCATCGGAGGTGACGTTGGGCCCACAGCAGACGTTGACGTTGATGAAACAGCGGCAATATTGGCCCATGATATGGACGTCGAGAATGGAGACTGGCAGCCCGCAACCGATTTCGAATGGTCTGTGAGGACAGTCGACCTCTAAACATCTCAGCCCTGGTTCGTGTAGCCGGCGAAATCTGTCACGTAGGTGACGTAGGACGATTTGACGGTCTTCTGCTCGTGACGTCACATGTGGACGACCCGACCTTGGGCGATCAGAAGTGGTGCCAGTTTGTTGTAGACGACCTCGCAAGTCTTTACACGGTACGACGGCTGCATCCATTGCTCTTGCGACGTCAATAACCTGATCTTCCCGCTTGCAACATGCCAACGGCACGTTCACGTTGCACATTTGACAATCGTGGCATTTCAAGTACCGTTAGAACTGTGGTTTAAAAGTGTTTTCAATTCTTGAGGCCAATGCAAATACGTGCATATGAAGAAACTTCGATGCGAAGATCACGTGATCGACTGCACGTGCAAAACCTGATTTGGCACTAACGTCATTTGCACGAGGAATGGATGGGTTTGAGTGGGTTTTCTAACGTTTTTCGACAGATAGGGATCCCATTTCGGATGCATAGATGTATCATCAGAGAAAAATTATTCATTATTTTTCAAATTACATTTTGTGAAGTTTCTTTTTGACTCAGTATATTTTCTTGAAAAATATCTTGTAACTATTACTTCACAAGATTTACGGAGATGTTTGACAAAACTCCGTTGTAATGTACATGATTTTAATTAATGTTAATTCGTATAGATAGTCCAAACAACTCTGAAATTGCGTTTTGTAGTTCCTGTATGACTGAACTAGAAGATGAATTTTATATTACATTAGTATGTACTCTTTACAATGAGTATCGTGCTAAATATTTACCTGAATAAAGTCGTAATTACCCTCATGTTCAAATGTCCTTTGAATTGATGAGAACAAGCGATAAGAATAGAATCTTACGACTTTGTATCTTTCTTTAAAAGTGTTTGTAATCGTATCACTTGTGATAAGATCTACATTCTCAGTGTGGCGCACATGCATGTCTTTACCTTACTGTTTTACACATGTAATCCTGGCCTCATGGCCATATATACGTAATAAAGGATGGATGGATGGATACAGAATGGAGGAATCTCACCTCTCAGCAAATATTAATGTGTATATCTTGAATGGCCAACAGACAACCCAAATAGGTATAACCAACAGTGGAAATGATGAGCGTCAGGTTGTCTGGCCATTTAAAGTGAACACCGCTGGCCAATCTTCTCCAATAAGCTCATACCTCTTGCAAATGCTAGACTGCCTTTCTTCGACCATGTTAACACACTTTTTCTGGTTCAAATCCAAATATACATTCTCAAGATTACCAATGAAACAAAATCCATGTCACATTAATGTTTGTCTCTGTGTATACTTTAAACGCAGTTGTATAAGAGTTTAACAAATACTCTGCACATCACTTCCACATTTTAGATCCACCGCAAGCTTGCACGTTGCTGATACCAAGAGAGTGGTCAATGAATCAGGAGATTTGACTGTCCAATGTACAACAGAAGCAAACCCGGAAGTGACGTCAGTAGTGTGGACAAAGGAAGGTGCTGGAAAGGATCTCTGACAATGGGACTCTTCACCTGAGGAACATACAGAAGAGTGATGCAGGGGTATATGTCTGTACAGCCACCAACATCGCTAAGCATCCTGCCAGGGAAGGACGACAGACAAAACACTCATCTGTAACTGTTACACTGGAGGTGCAATGTAAGTCTCACAATGTGTATGTGAAGGTATAACACAGTCATAGTATAGTTTAATGATAACAGCTTACACAAGGTAGTGAATGCACACAATGCTCCCCTGCTACACAACTCTAAAGTTCGATACAAATATATCAAAGTTGTAAAGTTACAAATGGCTCCGAGGATATTATTTTTACTTTATCAACGGGTGTTGTCTATTGATATCCAAACACAAAGAAGTTATTCTTATCATCAAAATCACTCTTCATTATTTTCAATATATATATATATATATGTACTGCCACATTAGACTTGCAGTGCAGCGATGTATAGCATTGTGACGTCATCAAGAGTACATGACGTCATAGCATTGTCAGGGCATTATGCAAAATCTACTGTCAAAACGATATCTCTGAATATGTATCTCCCACACAAGCGATGTGTCCTGTGAACACAGTGGATGATAAATATATATATATGCATGTATGTATGTATGTATGTATGTATGTATGTATGTATGTATGTAATATGTATGTATGTATGTGTGTGTGTTTTGCGTGCGTGCGTGCGTGAGTGTGAGAGTGAGAGTGAGAGAGAGAGAGAGAGAGAGACTCTATATACGTAAAACGGTCAAAGTAGTAGAATGTGAATTACAAAATGATTTGTTGTCTGGAAGGTAACTCTTATGAGTAACTTGTATCCAGTCTGTTTTAACTTTCACTTATCTCAGACAAAACAGTATTTTGCTAGGTTTTCCACAATCTTTCTCCACACAAGTATTTGAGTTTGTATATCAATGATAATCTGCTTTATTGACGACGTTATCCATAATTATACGGTGGTGTTTTAGATGCGCCTTCGAGTAGAACGTTTTGGTGTCACGTCTGGGGCCGGAAACACGACGGTCAGGGGAACACGACAACGTGACACTGCAGTGTGACGTCACAAGTAACCCGGCTTCATCCATTGAGATCAAAGACACGACGTCCAGTATAGGAAGTAGCAGGACCAGCAACCGTGACCGTCAGACTCTCACCACGATGCTGCTAAGTGTGTCCTGTCTTGAAGGGGAAATTACACCTGCGCTGCTAGGAACTTGATCGGAGCTTCATTGAAGACTATCCCGTTACATGTCAGGTGTAAGTAACATCCAAGAAGGGGTTTCTGTCTTCACTGTTCATTTGTATTGTACATCAAAATACATGGAGTCAAATCTACTGAACACAATATAGGTACATACATGAATATGTTTGTATAGAAGCAGGGAGGCCGTTGCAAACAACAACGATTCATACCTGTTTTGTAAAACTTCTCATTTTAATTTACTGGAAACCAATATCTGAACAGCCCATGTTCAACCCACAACCCGTGAGGGGTATGGTCATTCATTGTGCAGGGGAAACCCGTGACAATCCACAGGTTAACAAATAACGACCACGACGTGTCGCCCTAGCTGTGGCCTGCAAGCATTCAATACTTACCCGACCACTACTGACTAGTTTTGGGGGTGGTTATTCTTGCCAGTCTGATGTTTCCCTCGTGACCTTCTCCGTTATTGCGACACCATCTGTAGGCCAGTTTCAATGATACTGTTCCCCGTGTGCTTTCTTCACCTAGGGCATATGGGCTCAGACGTATGGCTGATTAATTCAAAATATATAATCGTTTTCCGCTTCCACCCAGCGATTTACTCCTCCCATTTTTATATCCACCAGAATTTACTCCTCCTAGATTAATATCCACCAGTATTTAAAGCAAATTCCAGAAAAATGTTTTATGGCGACATTAGATTGCCTGGTACTCCACTTTCGAGTGTCAGCTTTGTCACAGTGGCGTGGCTAGTGCACTACCGTGTAAACTTAGGCAAAGCATTCTTTGCTACCGCAAGTTGTGTGTGGGTGGCTATTGCAAGACGTAAGATCAGGACATGTTTACTATTTTCGCGGAACACCTTGTGCCAACACTGGATTCTGATTCATCCATAGTTATCTTCTATTCTATTTTGCTTTATACACCTCTCTGGAATCTATTTCGAGGGAATGGTCAGACTGGAATATTGTTCTCAGGCAGTCAGTATTTCGAAGAATAGTCCAGAAGGTTCCATATGGGAGGGAAGGGGATAACACTAACAAATGTTTAGGAGACTAATTTGCCGTAGGTACTTTTAGAATGTAGAAAGATATATTCAACTATAACGTTTTGTTTGGTTTCACAGTGGTGAAAAACAAAATACTGGTCATATGAGAGACAGATATATTCAGCATAAGATCTGTTTGTTTTCACATATGTGGAAGTAACACATTGGTCCTGGTGGGATTATGTTCATTGTTACATGTATATATTTTATGTATATATATTTTATGTGAGTCTGTATTGTTTATTTAGGTGTTCCAAGAAGATATTCATTTTCATCCTGGAAACACTGGTGTTCTACGTCGGGTCTGCACGAAAATGTCACTCTTAGTTTGACTGTCATTAGCCTTCCCGCAGCCAACCCCTTCACATGGCGGAGAAGGCCAAATGCAAGACTAATCAATACTACTGCGGTCACCACTCGAGGGTGTCCCTTGGTAACAGGAAATGTGACCATATTTGATGTCAAAGAAGAGGACTATATTAATTACTCCTGTCACAGTGACCAATGCAGAAGGCCAACCTGGATCTGCAGATACCACTGGTTTCCAAATGTTAGTTACTTTTTTCTCAGATGTACACTTTCTTAGCTGAAGAGAAATGTATACCTATAATTTGAGTATCGGAGATTGAACATCATGTCTCAAACAGTTTGTAGGAAAAATTGGAGAAAACAGTACTCTCTGCAATTGTTTTGTAAGTCTTAGATTTAGCTGATGTTTGGTTTAAAATACAATAATTGACTGATATCAAATCTTGAATCTGCAGGGTTGAGATTAATCGTAAAATGTGATGATAGGTAGATAGCTTAAGTAGGTCACAAGTGAATGGCCCTCAATTTTTAGTCTACCACACCACGTCGATATTTCGTTAGAAAATGCATTTTCATCCAAAAGTGGATATATAAGCATGCACTTGTCATCATATAGAGAAGAAGGGGATATATCGGTATTTAATCAAGTGTGATGACTCTGTTCAGACATACAGTAAAGCATTATCTATCATATCTCCCGTGTTTCACAGCCCGGCTGCACCTACCAAGCAATCTGAAGGCAGTTAACATCAGTCCCCGTTCAGTCACCTCTGAGATGGGAGAAAGGTTTCAACGGTGGCGCCAAACAAAGGTTCAACATACAATATAGACAACACGGCGGACAGTGGACCACCCACCCAACAAGGCCAACCGGAAGACGACACCTCAGAACCTGACATTGATGACCTCTCGAACCCGGAACAGTCTACGAAATTCGGATTAAGGCTAAGAATGAATACGGCAGCAGCAACTACACCTCCACCATTGTAACCACTGGACACACAGGTGGTATAATATACAGGAACAATAAATCTAACTGTGTCACTATTTCTCTCTTTAAAATGTCTCGCTGGGGTCCCAGGTGACATAGACACCCCTTCTTTAGATTGGTTTTCAAAATTAGAAACATTCCTTACAATCGCAGGTCCCTGCCCCCAAACCTTTTTCAGCCAAACGAAGATACCAGCTACGAACGAGACATATATGACATAGTGGTGTCGTAAAAAGAATTGTTTCAAATGTAATGCAAACAGCAGGGCAAATGTGTGCTTGTAAAGATAAATCGTCTATGTGCTTTCAGGCTTCATATGTCATATTTGGTTGTCCAAAAAACGTTTTACGTTGATACAGTGTGCTTGTTTCTGTTTGTTTTGTGCAGACCCTACCAACATCACGATAATCGCAGGTGTTACGGCAGCAGTTGTAGTTGTTGTTATAGTTCTCACTGTCGTCGTCGTCGTAGAAGAAATGGAGGAACAAACAGAAAGGTGAGACGGTTCCTAGATTGTTACCTCTAAGCGTCTATACTTATCTTAGCTCTTGCCAACATTCAACATTAACTATGCATAATTGGGGCATCGGTCACTGTCGTTTATTTCAGGAACATGTATACAATATTTTACCTCATGCTAAATGTTTTCTTCAGGTCAAGGTACCCTCGACGGCGGATCAAGGGTTAGTATCTCACTACATAAAAGAACATCTGTTCTGATAATTTCTGTGAAGATGTTTCGTTGACAATATCTCTGGTAGTGGTAGTTAGCTGAACTGAGATAGATATATCTGTTTTGACTTATGTGCTGATTAATGGTAATATTCCTCCTGATAAACAATATGTGTATTGCTTCACATCATATTTAATTAATGATCTGTCTCTGCGTGAAACCTTTTCCTAAATAACGTTTCTCTCCACAAATATCATTTCAGGGAAGAGGATGAAGGCCGAGGTATGAATTCATATTCACATCTTCAGAGACAGCGTGTTAATTTGTAATTTTGTTCGCATCCAGACAACCAAGTGCACGGTATAACGAATAATTATGTTTCGGGCCTCTATGGAGCGGAGTGAGTTATTATTTAACGTCACATCAGCAATATTTCAGCCATATCGTGACGAGAACACTTGACATTGAAAAATAGTGAGTGTTCGGGCTGTATGGTTTACTTATCTGCATAAATAGATTTCATCACCTAAGGATACAGTTGAATATGGGGAGGTGGCATGCAATGTAAACATTGCCTCAGAAAAACATGGTAGCCGCGATTGGTTTCCATATTGAGAGAGTATCTTTTTGGCAAAAATAATTGTCCATGTCTTTGGTGCAGTGGTAGAAGACAACGACCTGTATGAGACGTCGGCTGACCTGAACATCAACCCTGCAGGAACAGGAGCAGGGTCTCAAACAACGACGTTTATGCTGTTGTCAGCAAGCCGCCAAGCCAAGAAAAACGGTGCGCATTCATTGCTGAATTGATCAGCAACAACACTTCATTGGTTCCACTGTTAGTGTGACGAAACGAACGCGTCCGGTAGTGTCATGGCATGCTTTATCTTTACACCTGATGATGCACTGGCGTTCACACGGCATAATGACAGTATTTACGAGAAGCTTACTGCTACCACGTGAAAATATCATCTTCGTAATTTCTGAATAATAGTACCAAAACGGAATAAATATCACATTTTTGTGCTACAATAGAGCACAGGAGTCACACTTCGGTATGAAATGTTGCATCATTAAGTCGCGTTAGGAGGCCAAGATTACTTATAGTATCACGAGATTGGTGTCTGGAAAGTTTCAAACTACAGGTGGCGTAAATTCTACGAATCGGACAGTTATATACATGTCTATAAACGACAACAGCATCATTACGGAGTTGAAGTTGTCATTTTGATAAATGTTCTTGACAGATCCAGCAGAGGACCTGTATGCGATGCCTCAAAAGGAGAAAAAGAAGAAAACAGAGGAAAACTAGGAAGAAGTTGGAAGGTAACTTTCCGAATAATAAAGCATATGCATTTATGTAGACTCGTAGCACTCCGGTTAATTCGGTATCATGATTTCAGCGTTGAGTTCGTAAAATGATGTAATATATATACTTTATATTTTCATAAATTGTGTCTACAATGGTCAAAGTAGAAGTGATGTATATTTTCGTTTCCCTCTGCTCAGATCAAACGGAAGATATCTATGCTCAGCCTGAGAAGAAGAAAGGAAAGACTAAGGGAAAGAGCAAGGAAAGAGGGTATGGCATTACATTGTCTCCTTATCTAGGGAGGTAAATCAACTGTGTCGTCTCATTGTAAAACTGATGCCTCTTCGAAATAATTTGCAACGTTTGCCCGGTTGAACTGAAACATTATAAATATGAAGCATTGTTTCATGCTCAAGGTGGAATAGGATTATCGGAAGTGAATCACAGTGAACATTTGAAGCGTCAAAACATAATGCTATCTTTTCTAGTAGTATCTACATCCCATCTACAGGAAGTCCATGCAATAATTAACATGGAAACATGTTCTGAGGTGGATAGTTGCAGGGCGGGCAGCCCCGCTGTTGGTAGGCCAGATCAGTGTGTACATGTAAAAGTTTCTTTATATATATTTCTTTGTATAAACTGTTCGAAATGGAATCTGTCAGACAAATTCATCGAAATTGGTTTTAATTTCTTTTATCCATAGTGGTTTCATAATTCGAACACTTTGTTTATTGATATAAAGTTGTAAAGTGCAAATTCCACGTAATCCTTTATCAGTTCTAAGATCTGTATAAACAATGTTTATATGGCTTAAAAGATTCCCACTTCTATTTGTCATTAACCTACATGATAGGCCAGATCAGAAGCTGTCACAGGTTCCCCGTTGTCGTCATACAAGGTGGGACTTCAGGTTGTGTGACCTGGCCCGTTGTATGCTGTTGTCTGTCGATAGCGGGGAACATTGATCTTACTGTTAGTCTTCGTATCCTTGACCAAGATGCGATTATATATGTACACAGACTTTGGCGTTTAATTTGGAATGATGCTTACTGCTGTCTGACACAACAAGCCTCTTTATCACTCATCAACTCACTATGTTACTTTTACCTGATATCTCGTCTCCAGGTCTTGGTGCTGAGCACTCTGGAGGAGGAGCCGGTGATGAAAAGAAAGAGGTACTGTTGAAATTACTGCACAAACTAAATAATTTTGAAAAAGCTGTTCATTTGGACAGCATTCGCTTCATGAACCTGGCACCTAATGGTGCCACATGACTTGTTCATACGCAAACACCACATGAAAGCAAATAAATCACAACTTTATGAAAAACAGAATCAATACGACTTAGAGATATATACTGTTTCTTAGAAATAAATCGACTTTTTTCTTGTAAGTGTCAAAATCAGGAATGACACCACCTCTACGTAGGTGTTACGACTGGATGTGGCACGGTGCAAACTATTGGATGGTTTTGGGCGTTTTCATTAAGATATACACCTTCCTGTATCGGATTTTGTCGTCAACACTTGTCATTGTTTATTTTCTTTGGCCAAACATTTACATGTCATGACACCTTCCTATTTAGGATATTGAGGTTCATATTCCAGCTATATGGCTGCGGTGTGGGATACGATGACATGTCTCCAAGTCAGCAAGTCAGTTTTGTATGAAAATCAGTGTGTGTGTGTTTATTTTATTTTATTTGTTTTGTTTTAAAAAAAACAACAAAATTGAGCAATTATTATCATAAACTCAACATGGATTCCAATCATTTTGTCTTTGTATGAGTCGAAGGATCACACGGGTCAGAAAAGCTCATATTTTTCCATCGTTTTGAAAACCTATCACTGCAAAAAATACTGGGGTGCTTAATTCAGTTTTTGTGTGTATAGTTTAACCGTAGTGAACAGAGACTGAAACGATGACAAGTCGAGGTCTCCTACAGTGGATAGAACCCCGCGTCTGTTTAGGGCTCGTGGGTATTTGAAAGTCCCGTCATACCAGTATATCACAGAACTTAACTTGACAAAACGTACAAGGAAACTTACATGTTCGTGTAATTGTTTATCAGGTACAGGGACAGAAAACCGGAATTGATGAGGATGGCTTTGCTGTACGTCAGTGTCGATTTCAGCGGGCTGCCTCCCACATCCGACACCATCAAACGGTCGGAAGAGGAAACTGAATATGTTGGTATTGACTTTGCAGCCTCTGCAGTCAAGAAATAGTAACGTCCCTTAGAAGAGACGAATATTGGAGCATTCCATCGTCATGTATTGCAAACCCATTGGTTTCAATGTTTGTTAAACCTCAAGGCTTTTTATTTGATTATGTTTTTTTCTTTGTTATATTATTGGTTTATGACAGATCACTTCTGATTTCCATTTTATTGTTTTGAAAAAATCTGCAATGTTAAGACAGCTTTATTGTTTATATTCAATACAGACCTTTTCTTGGTTTGTCCGCTTCTTTCCAATTTATTGTTTATCACTTTTTGTGCTCCAGTATTTGTATGTGTTTCATAAACTTCTGATATTACATATTTTAATATATTCTCTGATATAAGATTTCTTAATGATCATTGTGAAGCAGCGCATTCTTCTGTTTTACGTTCAGTGAATCAGACATTGGTGTGATTTTGTTGAACTCGGGCATGTCCTCTCTACGTTACAATATTAACGCTCTCCACCAACATCATGAGTATAAAGAATGCCATAACGATTATAACATATCAGTAAACTCACTCACTTGTGTAAGTGATGTCTAAATTTGATAATTGTCACTCTGTGTATAACATACCGATTGTAAATGAATGTTCCCTTATATTCATTTCTCATTGTATGAACTGTTTGAAATGAGAATTGTAAGCCATGTTGTCAAAATTTGTTTTAATTATTCTGTCCATGGTCGTTTCATAATTAGAACAATTTGTTTTTGATATAACGTTCTAAAGTGCAAATGCCTTGGTCGGAAGAGGAGTGAGTGAGTGAATTAAAATTTAAAGTCACATCGGCAGTATTTCAGCCATATCGTGACGTCGGAACAGTACACACAATATGATGGTATTACCTTTGCAGCCAATGCAGTCAAGAAAGAGTAACGTCCCCTGACAAGAGACGAATACGGGAACATTCTTTCGTCGTGTACTGTAAACCCGTCGGTTTCAATGTTTGTTACAGAGCTTTAGGCTTTTCTATTTGATTATGTTTTTCTTTTGTTATATTATTGGTTTATGACAGATCACTTTTTCTGATTTCCATTTTAGTGTTTTGCGAAAAGTCTCCAATGTTAAGAGAGATTTATTGTTTATATTCAATACATACATGTTTCTTGGTTTGTCCGCTTCTTTCCAATTTATTGTTTATTGCTCTTTGTGCTGCAGTATTTTTATGTTTTTCATAAACGTTCATACTAAATATTTTCCTATGTTCTCTGATGTAAGATTACATTGATCATTGTGAAGCAACGCATTTTCATATTTCATGTTGAGTGAATCTAACGTTGGTGTGATTGTGTTGAACTCAGGCATGTCCTTTCCACGTTACAATATTAACGCTCTTTACCAACATCTTGAGTATAAAGAAAGCAATAACGATTATAACATATCGGTAAACTCACTCACTTGTATAAGTGATCAATCAATTTGTTAATTGTGACTCTGTTCATCATGTGTGTATAAGATGCCATAAGATGAAGTTTCCATATATTCATATCATTGTATGAACTGTTTGAAACTGATATGTAAACCAAATAATAATAATAATAGCATGCTTGTAATGCGCTGTTTTCCATGTACAACATGTTTAAAGCGCAAGACATAGAGGTATATACAAAACAGACACTAAGAGAGAATATAATATTAGAGATACATGGAAACAATTCAATGAATTATCGTTTGCACTCGTAAGCTAATCGGAAGAAGTGAGTCTTTAGTAAGGATTTAAAATGAGAAAGTTCTGTACAGTCAGGTAGATATTGAGGTAGTTGATTCCAGGTTGTAGAGGCTGCATAAGAACAGGACCTTTCACCTTTCAAGTAGAAGTCGAAATCATCGACATTTTATTGTTCTATCCATGGTTGTTTCAAAATTAGAGTAAATTGTTCTTGATATAAAGTTTGCACTATGTCCTCTCAAGGGCACTAAGACTAATGTGCATATGTGCTCAAACGATTACCACTCCTGTCTGGACTTAACCACTATGTGTAAGGTCACAGCTCACAGGTCCCATCGTGACCACTTCATTCGCATGCATTTAGAAGCACATGTATTGGACCTCAATGGTGCCTGGTTGTCACATAGCTGGCTGTTATCTGAGCTATGTACATGCACATATGAAAGTACCCTTACATTGGAAGGTTTACTATTTTAAATTACTATGTAATTGTATATAGTGCAAATTGTTTAGACATTTCACGCAACTGTTACATATTTGTAAATTTGTGGCTGTTAATTTTTTCAATTTATTCATACATCATTTGTATAAAATTGTTGAACATTTTCTGACTTTTATAAACAGCGTTTGTTTATTATATGTTTCTTAACCTCATCAACAAAACTCTTCAACTCAAAACCAAGGCTAATAAACGGCATTGTACTTATGAACTGTAATGCCCAAAGTCGCTAAAAATAAATGTTGTTGATGCTGATATTGGTGTTGTGTTCCTGCATCTGCGCCGAGAGTCCAGGACCTGAACAGACACATTAGTCTTACAAACAGCCTTGTAATATAACGGTGTTTAATGAAGTGAAATTAAATTGGGTTCAATGTTGAATCGGAGCATGGTTGCTCATGATTTTTAGGGTGAGTGTGTGAGTACGATTTTACACGATTTTATGAATATTGCTGCAATATCACGGCGGAGGACATCGGAAATCAAACCCGGGTGTTCAGCATGACCAGCGGACGCTTTAACCACTAGGCTACATCGTTGCCCCCATGTTTGTTAGAAAGTTACACGCGGGTGCAGGAAGCTTCCTTCAAACGACTAACAGCCCTTCATTTCAAACCAGTGACCTGTTACATGTTCTCCACACATAATCAATGTCTCCGCTTGTCATTTCTTGTTACTGGGGACAAATCATCTTATACACCAATATGATTGAAGCGAATCGGTTTCTTGGACTTGAATTCAAATGTGCAGTGTACAGTTGCCTGCAAATGCATTGCAACGTTCCTCGTTCACTGGGGCGGTGGGGTAGCCTAGTGGTTAAAGCGTTGGCTCGTCACGCCGAAGACCCAGGATCGATTCCCCACATGGGGACAATGTGTGAAGCCCATTTCTGGTGTCCCCGCCGTGATATTGCTGGCATATTGCTAAAAGCGGCGTAAAACTAAACTCAGTCAGTCAGTCAGTCTGTCAGTCTTCGTTCACTCGACATTTGTGTGCGATGTTCATCTCTTTGCCCTGCGCACTCATAGTACGTATGTACGCATCCATAGTAAAGCTCATGTTATCGTTTACTTGTCATTAGTGTACTCAGAATTATCCTCCGGGATAAAAGACAGAACAGGCAGTTAAAAACCACAAGCTCTGTTTGATGTAAACCTATATTTTCACACAATATGTGTAAATGCAATATGCTATATAAGGTACTGACTTTGGAGTATGAAACTTTGAACAAAAATACCATTGAGTACTTGGATTGCCTGTTTGTACCTTGACGCCACACGCTATATGGTGGCGGCCAGCAGAATGTCGCGTATGGACCGAGCTATTGATTATATGAGTAAAGTCGACGGCGTCCCCATACAATAGTACCTACCCAACTTCCCGACTGGGCCAGGCCACAGCATTTCTACTAGACAATGGTTCCTAAGGACCTGGCATCAGTAGGAGTCGAACACCATGGAGTGGGGTGCATAATACTAGTATTGAACACTACTTACTTCTGATGCCCTGTGGCAGAATGTAACCTCCATGATGCAAAATGTCATGTATCATAAACAAGCACCATTGTTATGAACAAGCATCATTGTTATAAACAGGCATCATTGTTCTAAACAAGCACCTTGTTATACACAAGCAGCATTGTCATAAACAGACATCATTGTTATAAACAAGCACCATTATAAACAAGCATCATTGTTATAACCAAGCACCATTTTGATAAACAGGCATCATTGTTATCCTTTCTAAGCCTGGAACGTTACGCCTAGAAGCTGGACATTGACATTGTCACGATATTGTCATTTTGTTTTCTTGCTAGCTTATCTTATTGAGCAAAACAATCCATCTGTACACGGTCAGGCATGTGCTAGGCACCATTTAGAACGTATTAAGGGCCCACAATCAATTATCTGCTTTAAATACAGTTCATACTAAAACCCATCGTGACAAGTAATTTCAACATCCTGGCCCAGTGCAATGGAACAGTCCGCCGCTGGAAAACTTTAAAATGAGATGGTCCAGTCACACATGAGTAGCAGACAATATACTCAAACTTCATACTTAAACAAATCACACGAGCAACAGTCTCGAAAAAATATTTCAATACGAATAATAAGCCACCATCACAATGTAAACGAGTGAGTGAATTTAGTTTTACGCCGCACTCAGCAACATTCCAGCTATATGGCGGTGGTCTGTACGAGTCTGGACCAGACAATCCAGTGATCAACAGCATGAGCATCGATCTGCGCAATTGGGAACCGATGACATGTGTCAACCAAGTCAGCGAGCCTGACCACCCGATCCCGTTAGTCGTCTCTTACGACAAGCATGGGTTACTGAAGGCACATTCTAACCCTGACCTTCATGGGTTGAGACAAGCATGGGTTACTGAAGGCACATTCTAACCCGGACCTTCACGGGTTGAGACAAGCATGGGTTACTGAAGGCACATTCTAACCCGGACCTTCACGGGTTGAGACAAGCATGGGTTACTGAAGGCTCATTCTAACCCGGACCTTCACGGGTTGAGACAAGCATGGGTTACTGAAGGCTCATTCTAACCCGGACCTTCACGGGTTGAGACAAGCATGGGTTACTGAAGGCTCATTCTAACCCGGACCTTCACGGGTTGAGACAAGCATGGGTTACTGAAGGCTCATTCTAACCCGGACCTTCACGGGTTGAGACAAGCATGGGTTACTGAAGGCTCATTCTAACCCGGACCTTCACGGGTTGAGACAAGCATGGGTTACTGAAGGCTCATTCTAACCCGGACCTTCACGGGTTGAGACAAGCATGGGTTACTGAAGGCTCATTCTAACCCGGACCTTCACGGGTTGAGACAAGCATGGGTTACTGAAGGCTCATTCTAACCCGGACCTTCACGGGTAGACAAGCATGGGTTACTGAAGGCTCGTTCTAACCTGGACCTTCACGGGTCCAATGTAAATGCTCTCATAATCCGTATGAAACTTCTAAAATGTAGTCTGCATGTTTCAATAATTATTTTCTCTTGACTCCTCTTATCTATCATATAGTTTAAATGGATAGGCAAACAAACAGAATATATTGTCAAAACACTCTATAAATATTTCATAATTGTAATGAGATTTGTCATTCTTGAAGTGAAGAGTGAAGACGAGAGTGCAGTGAAGAGTTACGTCAACTACTGATTGCACTTGAGAGTGCAAATAAAAACATTGTTTGTAGTTTGAGATGATATGAGACCAAACTTCAATGCTTATCTTGGTCCAGACATACCTGAAACTGTCGACATCGCTACTGACCTACTTAGAAATACATCATAAAAATATCTTTGCTCCCAAGTAAACCAAACTACAGGAGAAGGCTTTTCTTATACTTTACCTATAAGCTCCGGGAACAATGTATAAGTTGTAATGCATTCAGAACTACATCCAACACTCCTGTCAGTTGGTATGGCGGGGTAAATACCATATGCTTTACCCTAAAATCCACTTTGCAACAACACGGTGCAATATTCCCCAAGCCACTTGAGACTGGTTTAAATCAAATGTAAGAAATACCTCTCAACATACGATTGACAGAAGAGAAACAGGTCATTATGGGCATCTATTTTGCTTTGATATGAAATTCTCTTGCTATCGCAGCTTTTCTCTCTCGTTTTCCACTTCAGTGTGGTTTTGTCAGCTGAATTCTTGAGGAGTAAGGCATTTTGGGAGATGACAGAAAATAACCATCGTTTGATGCCATTGTCTTTGACAGGTAAAGAGCTCACATTATGAGTATTTTGATAGCTCTCCGTCACAATTGTAAACACGTTATCACTGAACAGTCTATCTCAATTTGATTCGCAGCAAGGTGTCACATGGTTGTAAACAATAGGGTTCATTGTAAACTTTATAACAATTGATGTTTTCACACATTTGTATTTGTAGGTTGGCAAGTTTTATTATCATTTTAAAAGAAAATGAAACTCCCTTTTAAATGTTCATTGGTAGATTAAAGCGCAAGAATGTGTTAAGTATTTAAAAATTTTAGTCTTTTTATAAGGTTGGACTTTGAGGTTGGACATGAGTCTCACGCTATTCACATCCCAACAGATTACAGGACTGCACAAGGATCATGCTAGACGGAAGTATGTGATTTCACTGAAGGCGTATCGACGACGAATCCTCGTGGTATTAAGCATCAGAAATTATCCCCAAAAGTAGACAGAGCAAATGAAAACTTAACAGTTGATGACGTTAGCTCAATATTGTTTTCAGAACGTCTTTGTAGTACCTACAGATTGTATTTAGAATATCAGTTGTATTGGTACAGCCTATTCCAGTTATCGCTATTCTAAAGAGCTCCATTGAGTTATCAAATTAACGTCATTGTCGAATCAACGAGTATGTGAGTAATGAAGATCTCCTTTGTCGTGTTACCATCTGGGTTATTCTAGAAATTAAGTGAAAGTGAATCTGTTGATGTTAAATAAATCAAAAAGCAAATGAAAACTACCAGAAATTCTTTCTACTGCAGCTCTGCAAGGAAGAATACAGATGCTTTCTTTTTCACCATGAGGAAATATTCGGCATCTCATGGGTGATGTTTGGCTGCGGCAGTGAGTCACAGTGTGTTTGGCAGGTGTTGAAGGCGAGAAGACAAATCACCCCAGAGATCGGTAGTGGTCACAAGGTTCTTTAAAAAAATATGGGCCTGTACAATGCACACTCACTCATTCACTCAGGCCAACGTGGCCAAGGAGAACAAAACATTTGTGATGTACCTGGTTATTTTACAGAACCTTTCAGTCGAAGCGCCTATTAAAATACCATTCTGCATAAAAGTAAACATATACAGAGATTATTATAGATATCTTAAACTTGATAGCGAAAAATAACGTTTATTGTATGAGTATTTAATCTTTTGCACATTTGACATGTAACATTTTCTTGCAGACACTAACAAAGTTATTATTTAAGAATTACTATTTTAAGATATAGAAGTGAAGCGGTTAGAGTCTACAACAGGTCATCAGACAAACGAAAACCTCTGTTGGACATCACTACAAAGAACACAGAGAAAGTCGAGACTAAGACATCCGTGCATACCAAGTCAATATCTGGTAAAACTCTCTTCCGCGTCAACAGTGTCTATTGTCCCGTTGAAGAAAAGTGACAGCCGTCACATAACGTAACTGAGAAAATACCATTGTAACAGATGTTCAATAAAAGAAATTACTGTTATTTGCTGGAAAGTTCCTCCTCTCTTACATTTTAATCAGTACC